GCCCGGCCCGCCTCCTGCCGCCGCCAGCTTAGCCAATAAAGTAACTTTTTTAAAAAAGCAATATTTAAAAATCAAAACTAAAGGCTGATTTTCTGAGAAGATAAACAAAATTGATAGACTACTAGCTAGACTAAGAGAAATTAAAGACTCAGATTAAAAGTGAGATAGTACAACAGATAGCACAAAAACACAAAAGATCATTAGCAACTACTATAAATGACTATATGCCAACAAGCTGGAAAGTTTGGAAGGAAAAAATTTTTTTTTTGGAGAGGTTTTTTTTTGCTATAGGGAGTGTGCGCTCGCCAGACACAGAGAGATCGCAAGTGAGAAATCACCACCCAGGAGGGATGGCCACACAGCAATCCATTCTCCTCTCGGGATCTTGGGCACGCACGCACATGCACCTTGCGTGAGTTTTAAGCCACCGGGTCCGGGACACGAACCACAGTCAACTACATGGGAGTCAAGCGACAGCCATTACGCCAACCCTCATGGATTGCTGGTGGGAACGTAACTTAGTATAGTTACTGTGTAAAACAGTCTGGAGGGGGCCAGCAGGTGGCATGGTGGTTAAAGGATTCCCCTATGGCCAACTGTGGTTCGAGTCTTGGACATAGCAGCTTTCTTGATTTTTTTTTTTTTTGAGAGGTTTTGCTATAGGGTGCATGCACTCGCCAGAAAGAGAGGGACAGAGAGATAAAAGTGAGACGTCAACCCCCAGGGAGGATGGCCACACCATAATCCTTTGTCCTTCATTCTCCTCTCGGGATCTTGGGCATGCACACACATGCACCCGGCTGGAGTTTAAGCCACCAGGTCCGGGACTCAAACCACAATCTACTATGTGGGAGTCCAGCAACATAGCCATTATGCCAACTGCTGGTCCTGCTGCTTGCTTTCTTACTTTCCCTTTCTCTCTCTCTGTCTCTCTCTGGTAAAATTTAAAAATAATAACAATAATAACAACAAGTGGAATGAAATAATTCTCTTTAAAAAAACAGTATGGAGGTTCCTCAACAATCTAAAAATAGAATTACTGTAAGACATGGTAAGTCCACTCAGAGTGAAAATCACTCAGACATTTTCATACCCATGTTTATTACATTGGTATTCATGATAGCTAGGACATGGAATCAACCTAAAAGCCCAACAATCAATGACTAGATTTTTTTTTTTTTAATGCTTTTGCCATAGGGTACATGTCCTCGCCAGAGAGAGACCGTGAGAGGGAAAGTGAGAACTCACCCCCTAGGGGGGGATAGCCACACAGCGATCCCTTCTCTATTTTCCTTCTGGGATTTTGAGCACATATGCATATGCATCTGGCATGATTTTCATGTCCTACTATGTCTGGGACTTGAACTATGGTCAGTCATTAGGGAGTCCAACACCTTAACCACTATACCACCTGCTGGCCCCCATCAATGACTAGATTAAGAAAATGTGGCATATATACATAGTGGAATACTAGTCAGCAATAAACAAAATCTTATTCAACACAAAGCAGATGAACCCAGAACATATACTGAGTGAAACTACCCAGGCTATAAAAGATAAATACCATATGTGTATGTCCTCACTTAACAAATACTGAATGTCCACACTCTGGCAGAAAGTGAAGTACTCAATGGCATGGAAGAAGAGAGTGATGGTAGGTACCAGAAGCTCCAAGCAGGGAAGGTTAAGGAGAAAATGAGCAACAGAAACAAGAATCCATGTAAACAAGTAAAATAGGTTACGGAACTGTACACTACAGCTGTGTAAACATGTCACTGACCATTCAGTGTATACTTCTATAAAATCCCCCAAAACTAGTAGTACTATTATCCAATATATACATTATGCAGTGTTCATGTTAAGGATAATGGCTATATCTATATCTTTTATTTGATTATTATACATTATATGCACGCTTTGAAAACTCACACTGTACCCCACAAAGACGATTATTTATAAGCTGGGAATCATAATTTCAAAGTAAAAATGGTGGATTAAAAAAAAAAGATCAGGACCAGCAGATGGCATATGTTGCCAAACTCCTATGTAGTCGACCATGGTTCGAGACCTGGACCCAGCAGCTTAAAACTCACACCGGTGTGTGTGTGTGTGTGTGTGTGCGCGTATTCCCAAGATCCCAAGAAAAGAATAGGCAAAGGGATTGCAATGTGACCACTGCAATGTGACCAATGTGACCATCGCCCTGGGGAATGATTTCTCGCTTCCTGTCTCTCTGGTGACCACATGTACCCTATAGCAAAAAAACGCTTTAAAAGAAAAGATACACATGCATATGCATTTTTATTTAATAATACTTGATCTAATAGTTTTCATCATAAGAACTATTAAGATTTCAAACAAATATGTCCCATACTGGTGTTTGTGGTAAAAATGACTGTAATGATAATCAATAGCAATTTAGGCTCCCAGGCATCTGCTTAAGTATGTACTTCATTACAATCTACCACAGGGGCTAGCTTGATTAATTGTGCAACCACCGTGTGAAAAAGGTTTTTAGTATTCCATTTCCTATTGGCCTAGCACCATGCTAAGGTTGCAACCAAACAAATCACCAATCTCATCTTTAGAGGATCTATAATCTAGGAGCACCCCATTCTTGGTACCAGTTCTGTACCAATTATGGGTCAATCAGGAGACCCACACAGTAATTCAAACAGGGAAGGTTCAATATAAAGAATTATTAACTGGACTGGTTCTGTAGTCTAGCAGTTAAAGGAGCCAGATCCCAAATGGTTGACTGTGGTTCAAGTACTGCCTTAGCAACTTGAAAAACATGCTGGGCACATGTGTGTATGTGCCCCAAATCCTGACAGGGTAGAGAAATGGAAAATCATTGACCATGCCCTATTGGAGGGTGCTTTCCCCTCTCCTTTTCTGTCTCTCTCTCTGGTGAGTACATGTACACTCTGGCAAAAAAAATTTTAAAAAATGAATAAAGCATTTAAGGGAGTTTAGAGTCATTTTTATTCATTTAAGTGCTTATAGAAATAAAACTTGGAAAAATATGTTACAATTACCAAACAGATCAGAATGGGATTCTGGATGGAGCTGTTTGAACTTGGAAAGCTGTAAGTTCAACATTTTCTGCCATGTTGGGTAGGAAAACATCACCAGTCCTTTTTGTGTGTTTAATAGGTACCTGTAATATTAAGTAGATATTGGTGTTTGTTAAGAAGATAATAATCTTTATAGCATCATATTATTTAATGAGACCAAGGTCATTGATTCAATCTGTATGTATTTTGCCATTTCTCATAAAGGAAACTGGTCAAGAGTGAATCTGTTGATGGAAAGCCATTTCCAGCTAAGAATGAAAAGACATCCCATATTTGGAGTTATCAAAAAATTCCTTAACATTTTATTATTTGTTAGTATAGTGCTTTAAAACAAAGTTATTTGTATTCTTATATTCCAGCTTTGTATTCCTCTTCATTCACTTTATCTGATTTGTCTCCTAGGCCTTGATTAATGAGAGACCAGCAGTTAGCATAATGGCTATGTCGCTGGACTCCCATGTAGTTGACCGTGGTTTAAGTCCTGGACCAGGTGGCTTAAACTAAACTCGCACCGGGCGCGTGTGTGTGCGTGCCCAAGATACCGAGAGGAGAATGGAAGAGAAGGGATTTCGGCATGGCCATCCACTCTTGGGGATGATTTCTCACTTCCTGTCTCTCTGTCTGTCTCTGCCTTTCTGGCGAGGGCACGCGCCCTAGAGCAAGAACTCTCAAAAAAAAAAAAAAAAAAGAAGTTAAACATGATATAGATTTGAAGAGGTTCCAACTCATTCTGTGCCTTTTCTGGCAGTCAGCTTTTTGCTGGGGTTCCCTATATTGTACACAAGTGAATGGCCCACAAGACACTTCATTATAAGGTATATTTATTTAGTAAGGCAATAACCACCAGCAAACAATTACTACTGGGGGATTTTATGGAAGTATACACTGAATGGTCAGTGACATGTTTACACAATTAGACTATTACTCTTCTTATTTATTTATATGTTCAATCACTGTGTATCATTACAGTATGCCAAATTAATTTTATCATCATAAATACACTGAATATTGGTTCAGTCAAAGATAATACCAGACACATTATCCTCAACAGATAATTTTCCATTTTCATGTCCCTTGAATGTTTTATCTTTATTACTCTTCTAAATCTCTTAAAATATTAGGTTGTTGGAAAAGGCATGACCCATTTTTGCATAGAAAAATACGTCCTGACTTTTCCGATGACCCCATATAATGGATCCCCACTAAAGAACTGAGCTACTTAGGAGCTTTTTCAACCCTAAGAGCTGTAATCACCAGTACATCTTCACCGTACTCAGAGCTCAAGGAAGTTAATCTCAGGAGCCCTTGTGGTCTTTCACAGCCAAACTGGACTTTACTTCTCTTTGGTGAAAAGGCTTTTACAGAAACAAACATATACCTGAATTTCACATTTTGGGGAAAGAAGATTGTACAAAGATTGGTGAGCACTTGATCAAGATCTCCATTGGATATGTTCTCTGTTTCTCTTTTCTGTATGTTTAAAAATACTTTAATAAACTTTCGATCTAGTAACTAGAGCATCGGCTGCAGAATTACATCTTCATACTACTTAGAATGGCATACTTTCCTTTTATGAACGACTCTGTCTTTTCCTCATAATTTTTCTCAAGGCAGGAGAAGAATTCTTAAATGTTTTGATTATACATGTAAATCTCTAGAGGAGATTCTGAACTATACTGGAGCGAAGAGTAAAATACCTTTTAAAGTAGTCTAAAGAAGCCAGTGGAAGAGGATGTAAATGTTTCACATAAGCTAAAAGATGATTTTTTAAAATTTCAAATATGTGCTAATCTGTACTCTAAGAATTTCCTTGGAGGGTAGATTTTTCACGTTTTAAATAACTAGCTGCTCTGTCAGGGAACTCAGCTAAGAGATCTGACCCTGCTAATTGTTATACAGATCGGAAAAAAAAAAAAAAAAAAAAAAAACAGAAGAAGAAGAAATTCAGAGATAGAACATAGCAAGAGGTTGGGACTGACTTTCACACCCATTGATTGACTTGTAGTCGAGTAGGTGCCATTGAACTTAATGACGTCAACATCAAAATTTTGTTACTCAAATCTGAAGTGCCTGGGTAAAATCTTGATATATAATGTTTTAATGTAAGTGTGAAATGACCCTACAATCATAATTCACATTTAAAATTTTGAAACATTACTGTTTTATACATAAAATCAAACTTATCATTACTTACAGTCTTTGGCCTTCCAATCCTTCTTGTTATTTTACTGCCCATAAGGTGAGTCTTTAAAAAGTGTTGCTGGGGGTATCTGGATGATGTGGAAGTAGAACTAAGGGAGTAATGAGCCTGGGACAGAAGGCCTGTAAAATTTAAAATATTAAATTATACCTATGTTTACAGTGTATAGACCTAGATTAAGTTCCTAACATTTTAGGCCATCTAATTCATCTTCATCAGTTTTTTTTTTCTTTCTAGCTTTATCAATTCTGAATGAAGATTTCAAAACCTGGGGAACCAGCAGTTAGCATAATGGCTATGTCGCTGGACTCCCACGTAGTCGACTGTGGTTTGTGTCCCAGATCCGGTGGCTTAAAACTCACGCCGGGCACGTGTGCGTGTGTGCCCAGGATCCCGAGAGGAGAATGGAGGAGAAAGGATTGCAGCGTGACCATCCCCCCTGGGGGGTGATTTCTCGCTTTCTGTCTCTCTGTCTCTCTCTGTCTGGCGAGCACACGCATAGGATGAAGAGAGGAAGAAGGTTTTGCGTGACCTGTTGAATATGTAAGCCTGAGACACTGAGGGCAGACATCAAGTAGTCATTGGCTATATGGGTCTAGAGCTCAGTGGAGAGTTTTGAGCTGAAGGTGTAGACTTGGAAAACAATGATGAAAACCATAGGAATATATATACTATTATCCAGAAGCAAATTGAAATGAGAGGAGAGGAAGCCAGACAGAGCCCTGAACAATTCCCTTGTTTGAAGACTGGTTATAGGAGTGAGACCCAGGAAAGGAGATCTAGAAAAAGCAGCAAGTCAGAGGAAGAAAACTACAAGGAGCAGTGCTATGCCATTAACGAGGAGAAGGGTGTGGATCATCTGGTTTTTAAAAATGTGTTATTTTTTTAGAGAGACTTTTGCTATAGGCCACATGCGCTTGCAGGACAGAGAGAGACAGAGAGCCAGACCCCCCCCGCCCCGCCCCCAGGAGGCAGTGGCCACACTCCTCCATTCTCCTCTCGGGATATTAGGCACACACACACGCATTGACATGAGTTTAAGCTGCCAGTCCATGAATTGAACCACGGGCAACTATGTGGGAGTCCAGTGATGTAACCATTACGCCATCTGCTGGTCCCATGGATCATCTGTTTGGAATGTTACTGAGACGTGGAGACTCCACAGTATCCATCAGACTTGGAAACACAAAGTCATGTTGTGCCTGCAAGAGCAGCTGCAATGAAGTGGTGGTGATAAAAATCAGATTATTAGGGCCAGCAGGTGGAGTAGTGGTTAAGATATTGGACTCGCATGTAGTCGACCACAGTTCGAATCCCAGACCCGCAGCTTGAAACACACTGGGCATGTGTGCGTGCTATGCGTGCCCAAAGTCCAGAGAAGAGAATGGAGGAGATGGGACTGCAGCATGGCCATCCCTCCTGAGGAATGAGTTCTTGTTTTCTGTCTCTCTGTGTCTCTCTAGTGATCACACGTGCCCTATCTCAAAAATCTCTTCAAAAAAAGAAAAGATTGGTGTGACAGAGACCTATACTTAGCCCCCAGTCTCCTCTTTCTTCTTTACAAATAGAACCCCACTTGTTTTGTTAGACACGTGGTATCCTACAATAAACATTTCCCAGTCCCCTTTGTGTGGTCTGGGGGCTAAGTGCTGGCCAGTATGCTACATGCAGAAGTGTCATGTGATTCCGAGAAATGTCCTTTAAGTGCGGGGTGGGCTCTCCTCGTTGTCTTCTTCTTAACCATTGGTGTGGCCATCTTGAACCATGAGGTGGAAACCACAAAACATGGGAGAAACTGGATTCCCGAGGATGGCAGAGCCACCGGAGCCATCTCGCTGGCCAGCCCCTGGACTTTGTGGGAAATAAAGCTCTCACATTTAATTACTTAATTATTAGTATTGTTTTTGAGACAGGACTTGCCTTGCCATGGTCCTCCTGCTTCAGCTCCTGGGGCAGCTAGAACCGCTGCTGTGCCACCCTACCTGGCTTTTCAGGGTGGGCAGGGAATCAATCTGGGCTCCTGTGAGGCTCAAGCCTGCCAAATAGCAGATCAAACCAGCCCGTACCACCACGGCTGGGCCTATTTATTATTCTGTGTCCTAGTTTAATCCTAACAGAGAGAGGCTGAAGAGCAAGTAAATCACGGAAAGTGAATTGAGAGAGTATAGGTGCCTCTTCTAAGAAATTTGGCTGTTGGGGCCGGCAGGTGGTGTGGTGGTTAAGGTTGCTGGACACCCACATGGCCAACCACGGTTCATGTCCTGAACCTGGCAGCTTACTTTCTTGCTTTCCCTATCTCTCTCTCTCACACTCTGTCCCTCTAAATAAATAAATAAATGAAGTTAAATAAAATAATTCTTAAAAAAAAAAAAAAGAAAGAAATACCTGGGTTTCTTGTACTACAAAATAATAAAATACATATTAAAAAGAAAGAAAGAAAGAAAGAAAGAAAGAAATTTGACCTTGAAGGGGAAAAGAACAGCTGGTAGCAAGAGAAAGAATATGTGAACAACGGAGGTTTTTATTTTAGAGTGCATTTTATGATCTGGGCACAAACATGATCAATAGGTGATTGCATGATTAGAAGGATGTGTGGATGGGAAATACGAGTACGTAGAAAGAAGCAGATACAGAAACAGCTCAAGGAAGGTAGTGCAAATAAGCACCATACACAGCAATTAGCCTGGCGAGAAAATGGGCACTTTTCCCACTTTCACAGGAAGGAAGCAGCAGCTGAGCATAAGTGTGGACGGGCTCGGAGGCAAGAAGTCAGGGCATTCCTAGCTGACGGCTTTTAGTTTCTCAGTGAAGTGAAGATGAAGGGCGGGGTGGGGGGCTGGGCGGGGAGGTAGGAAAGAAAATAGATGAGGGAGATTTAATACACTATAGTCGCCTGGGAGAGGAGGAAAACGGGAGCTGACTCCGCCCTCCGCTCCAAGGAAGGACTGTGTGAGCTGAGCCCAAGCCAATCACGTCTTTGTCTCTGGTTTTAGTGATTGGTTCAAACTTGGGCCCAGACTTGAGGCTGTCCAATCAGAGCCGAACTCTTTTTTAACTGTCCCATCGCCACACCCACCTCCTGCCAAAGTGAACTTGAACAGAGGATGGAGCCCACTAAGGTGGTGGCAATTTTGCTTCCCAAGGAGCTCCATTTCCTTTCTGCCCCCAGCCTTCTCAAAGCTCAGAGATGATAGGAGTCATCAGCCCCCATGACATAGTTTAACCTTGATCAAGGTACCTTCAGCCATTCCCCCTCTTACATTTCACAGTTTCGTGAGCCAGTTGATTTCATTTTCCCCTGTAAGCATTTTGAGAGTAGCTGATGTAGAACAGGCTGTAGTTTCTCAGGAGTTGCAAGATCTACGGGATCCAAGTTAGTGCCAAGAAAAGAGAGCTCGTGCCCCTACCGGCCCCTGTGCTTCCAGCGTGGGGAGTCAGGGCTGCGGCTGCTGTTGCTGATTCAGGAGGAACCAGCAGATTTCCAGCTGAAGACCAGCCGCAGAAGGAAGTGGGAATATGGCTGCCTTTTACCTTTTAGCACTAATGAGACAGATGATATCTGGCTGTCCTTTTAGAGTGCTGGCACCAGAAACACAGCTATGACCCAGTCACTCCAGGCTGGTGAGTCTACAAGTACCAAGTCCTTACAAACCCCTCCTCTGATTGCAGAGGGGACCCGCGGGGGATGAGACTGGAGAGTAGCTTCTACCTCTACTTCCTGGTAAGGGGTTTTCCTTGCACTCCTGCTCCACCCCTGCTTCTGGATCTAGGGTCTCTTTGCACCTGCCTTGTGCCTCACTCTGGTTCTCCTTTGTAAATCTGCAGGTGTTGGAGAATGTGGGTAGCAGTTTACTCAGATACACAAATCCAGAAAGGGATTTTTTAATTTTTGATTTTTAAAAAATTTATTATATTTTTAAAATTTGCTATGAGCATGTGTGCCCACCAGAGAGAGACACAGAAAGAGAGAGAGACAGAGGGGAAGA